CAGAACACAAAGACTACGAAAGGTGATATATAAGGCAGCGAAAGTGCAATGGCGAAAATCTGAACAAACTTTATGCAGCGAGCTGAAGAGTGATATTTAGCTTAACTCTGAAATAAGATTACAACAACAAGAATCAAACGTTTTGCAAATTGTCACAATGAATAAGCAGCAGTCAATTTTGTCAGGGCGAAATGCAGTTATATGAGGAGCTCGCATCAGACAGCAAGACTGTAAAGCCGGTCCAATCCGGTATGCCACCACCAGAACCATGGAGCCCATGTTACTTGCAAGTTAGCTACTTGCTATCCGTTTTTTGGCAAGTTGCACCGAAGCAACGTGGAGTAAATTGCTTACTCAAGGAAATTAGCGGTTAAGACCAACTTCGTCGTTCTCATGATTCCAACCGAAACCTGTAATGTTTCAGACTGGCTTCGACTATAGCGACTAACGCTTTGAAACTGTTACGGATCTATGCATCAAATTCAAGGGAGAAAATGAGTCCTTCCTCGAGGAAGTGAAATGTCGACTACGGAGACCATCATTCTAATGGACAATTTTACTGCATATGGCAGAGCAGACACTGAAAGGCGGAAAGACGTGACAGGAAAGAACAGCCCGAACGATCTCAACAATAACGATAACGATAATAACAATAACATCATGAAGTTGTTACCGTTTTGTGCAAACAACGAACTGTCCATTATGAACACCTTCTTCGATCATCGAAGAGTGCATCGCTATACCTGGTACCGGGAAACTTGTGCACAGAAGTCGATGATCGACTTGATAATCGTATCATCTGACTTAAGACGCTCAGTAATGGATGTTCGCGTCAAGTGAGGCGCAGAGCTATCAACTGATCACCAACCTGTTGTTGGCACGATACGCTGTAACAAATGGAGTACCATACGCATATCTGGTGGCAGAAGCAACCACAGAATTAAAGTGGAATCATTATCGTCTGCAGATAGAGAGCGGAACAAAGGAGGAAAAACCTCAGATGAGTTGAACAGATAGCGAGGATCATGGCTGACGTGAAAGCCTGGTGGAAGCTCTTTGAAAGTTTGGCTGCCGCACAGTGTTGCATCCTAACAGATGTCGACTGCGCCAGTGTCAAAAACGAACTTCATCGTGGATACCAGAGGTTCAACTGCCAGCCAGCACGAAAAACGCTGCATTCAGGAGACAGCTTAGAACCAAACAGCCTTCAACTCAATACGAAATAAAGAAGCGCCTAACGCGGCTTCTACAGCAGTGGTTAAAACGAAAGCTGATTCATCGGAAAAGTTCCGTGAGGTACTGGAATCCAATTTTCAGCAAGTACACAAAATATTTTCGAAGACCTCCGTCGCCACCGAGGCATAAAGAAGGCTACTATAAGAGTCACAAAGGACAAGTTCCGACGCGTTCTTAACAAGAAAGGGAATATACAACGGTGAGGGCCAATGCATTTTGAGGAACTTCTTAACCCTGACAAGGGAACGGAGATTAGCCTGAAGAGCGCCAAAGATTGAATATTAACCTGGCAGTATACGAAGTCACAAAAGCTCTAAAAACCGCATGAAGCAGCTGTAAAACGTGGCAAGGCCGCTGGAATCGATGATATCCGCAACGAGACGGTTAAAGCTTTACATAAACAAGCTATGCTGTGGCTAGTATGCATCTGTCAAACTGCATATCCGTAGAGAAAATAGCCGCGGAGTGAAGGGCGAGAGATGTAGTAACTCCGTTCAAAATGACAGATCATGGATCGCATCCCAATTATCAAGGTATTACCTGACAAAGCCTTTTATGAAAACTCTAGGCAAAGGTGTTAGAAAGCAGGTGCCGCGGTATAAATTGCCATAAAATCCAAGAAAAGCAGTCCGACTTCATGTCAGGCTGAAACACCCCCTATCAGATGGTTGCTTTACGCAAAATTCTTAAGAAATCGCGTGAGTTCGCTTCTCCGGTTTACATGTGCCGTGTGGAGCTGAAGAAAACATATGACCAGACTCCACGCAACAATCTACGAGCGTTCCTGCAAAACATATGAATCGACTGCCAGTTGCTACAAGTCATCCAATCACTCTGTGCTGATAGCAGGCTACTGCAGCATTAAATAGAGACCATTCAGTGTTCGCACTGATCTCTGCCAAGGTAGCGTCCTGCTTCTTCTCCTATTTGTGTTGTATATGAATAGAATAGTCAGAAGCAGCCAGAACGATCAGTTTAGGAAATATCGAGACGAGAAGGCTGTTGTTTGCAGACGACCCTGTTTTGTTGGCTTCTTCTGAACCTAAACAGTGATCTCTGGAAGGGTTCGCAGCCATGTACGACGAAGCGTGCATGCACATGAGCGTGTCTAGAACTATAAGACTTTTAGTTTCCCTGCCCGTACCATTCTGCAGATAAACGTAGATATAGTGGAACAGGTGAAATGCACGTACCTCATGGTCGTGTTTATTGAGGACGGAAAATATGAGGAAGGTATCTACCAATGAACTTGGAGAATAGCCAGCATTTTGCTTGAATACCTACCTACCTGCCTAACTAGCTCGAACTGTTATGCCTAAGGCAAAGTTGAGTCTGAAGACGATGCATCGAATGTCTAAGTCGATTTTCATCTACATAACATAAATGAGTCATGAATGTCGTAGAAGCGGCTGAAACTGGCTTTATGAGACGAAACTACGGAGACGATTCTGACAGTTCAAATGTCTCAAACTTCCTAGGAGGGTGCTATCAGATTGAATGGAAGCGTAGGATCAGACCGAGAATAATCCGACCTGTTAAATAACCATGTAACTGAGAAATGATGAAACACACGGATTTTCAGGTGAGTTAACAAGGGACGCGTTCGAAGGTTAAACAGGTTTGTTCGGAATGTCTGCTACTGACTGCTGCCGCAGTACGTGGTCAATGATAAGGCTATGAGACCTGTTATCCCCTTATGCACTGGAGGGGCTAAAGGCGAGTAATCAAGGTACGAAAAGGATGTGGAAACTTCGAAACGGAGTCGTCAAAGTTCCTACTCAGTATTTAAATGTAGCTGGT